CCTGGCTTTCTTAATTCTACTTTTGTGCAATACCCCTCTGTAATAATTTCTTTCTTCTGTTGAACACAAAAGAAGATACTTTGAAGAATGTGGGTAACCAAACAGTTTCTGGTCCCCAATGACTCTGATAGTATTTTTTCTCTACTGTGGAAGTTACTGAGGACCAGCAGCTGTTTAGTTACCCTCATTCTTCAAAGTATCTTCTTTTGTGTTCAACAGAAGAAAGAACTTCATGTAGGTTTAGAACAACCTGGGTAAATTATGACAAAATTTTCATTTTTGGGCGAACCATACCTTTAAGTGACAAACATATACGTGCTTCTAAAGGTATCGGCCTATTGTTTTATTAAAAGTTGGACAGTCTGTTAATATAATATTCCATACATTATCAGAGCTTGGTAGACATACTGCATAATAATGTAGTCCTAATTTTATCAAATGAATAATAAAAAATAAAAAAAATTCATCCCATCCAGGTAACAGCTGCAGAACTGTCAAAAAAGACTAATAATAATTAATAATTATAAATAATCAAATTTAAAATAAGAATATTAATGTGTTCTGTTGCAAGTTTACATAGTTGAGCATGTTTTCTCATGCTTTATTGTTGAGCTATGAGTTCCTCACTGATTATATGGGCGCCTCTTATTTTGCCTGAGGCTGAAGGTGGCAGCCCTAATCGCTACGCAAAGGCTGTGCATGCTCGTGTTTCGGAGAGAAGCAGTACAGCTGTATCTCTCTTTTATAAATCTGATAAAACTAAAGACTCTTCTGAGATATGAAGGATACAATATACTACTGTACTCAAGATTAACATGAGATTGGCAGAAACTATGTGTGTTATGTCCCATTTAATGTCCTCTAAACTAAAATTAGTAGTAGTTAGGGCTCCAGGCACCAAAGGTGGTGGAACTCTATTGTATTTGTACTGTTTTTCCACTTCTTTTTCTGCCCTAAACATGCCTGTGCCTCAGAGACTGAGGTTGTAGGACCCGTCCCAAATCATGTGCACTTGCATTCTTGCTGATTTTTTATTTTTATTTTTTTACAATGGGCGCAGTGCGAGCATGTCCATTAGGCCCAAACAGACCGGGGTGTCCATTTGTCATTTTAGGTTTCAGAAGGCTGCTCACCCTGAGTGGTTATGACCTACATGAGACTGTATTTTTGGTGAGAATCGGCCACAAGGTGGCTCTAGGTGTGCCACATTTTTTATCCAAATTACACAAGAGGAAACCAAAGATGCCTAGCAGTACACACATCACGTGAACCGAGTTAAAAACACTTGAAAAGACACATGACAATGTATTGTATCCCTGAACTGTCTCAGGAGCCACTGCTTGGACTCAATGACTGACACAAGCGGCTGTTTCATGGCATAATGCAGAGGAACTCTGTGCTATTACAGCTTGAGTTTAATTATCACATAGATTTACTTGTATGGTGCATTTAAAGTTTATAGCAAATGTAAACAGTTATTAAAAAACTAAAGTATAAACCGCTAAATGGCAAGGGGTCTAGTAGCTGTATTTTACTCTGGGGTCTCTGAGGTATTTGTTAGAACACACCTGAGGTGTCAGACACGTCAGGTTCGATGCGAGGAAATCGTGGCGTTGAGGAAACACTCAGCGGAGCGCGCGAGTCTGACCGCTCAGCGCTCGAGAGAGAATTCCACGAGTGACGTCACACGCACTTAGAGCGCCTCATTGTGACGTCACTGAGATTGGCTATAAATATGGAGCGTCTCGCTGGTTACATGGGCATCTGACAGTAGCGGCTCCTGACCTAAATTTAGGTGGGACAGATTCTGGGTCGTAGCGCTAGTTCATAATAAACTCAAGAAAGTTTATGCTTCATAGTCTAATCGCTGAACACATGCGCGCGCACACTTTTTGCAGAGATCCAATGTCTTGTTATTCAGCCTGTAGGCCGCGGCACGCTAATGATGATTGACAGGCTCGAAGTACACACACACACACACACACACAGAATGCTATAAAATGATTGTCTCCGAATGTTGATTAAGAATGTAGACAAATTTAGGAATGTAGAGGAACACATAAATCAAACACAACATAAAGGCTTTTCACGTGAGCACTTAAACTAAAGGATTAACACTTTAATTAATTTAAAACACTACTCCACATAGAAAAACAGACATTCTAGCTAGTTACTGATCTGATGCAGGCACATATAGCAGAATCTGACTGAAATCTTCCTGATCTGAAGCAAGATAAGTTAACGTGAAAATAAGCAGGGCAGTCTCAAAACTGCCCAAATGGCTCTCAATTAGAGCGTGCTGCAGTTCCACGTTTCACCACAGATTTACATTGTACAATGTGTGGGGCGCTGTTGAGTTCGGGAGGGCACCGGCACGACTGCCCCACTATCATTTTACGTGCCCGCAGAAGCTTGCGATGAATTTTAATATATCCTGCGCATTTTATGACTTAAAATTCCGAAAAATATTTGTTGCAGCATGCTGAACACATTTATACAGTTTCTTATTTATTCAGTTTATATAGAGGTCTATGTTTTGGGTGAATTACAGACGATGCCGAATAATAAAGACGAATAATGATTTTCATTATTATTTTTACTTTATTTTGATGGATGTATGGGATGGGGTTAGTTATGTTGTCTTATTAATTATTATTATTTATTTTTTTATTAAGTTTTTATTTTTTTGGATGGATGAATGGGTGTGGGTTGGTTATATTTTTTCTTTCTTTTTTTGGACGGATCAGTGGGTTGTTTTTCCTTTTTTTTTTGGATGGACGAATCGGTGGGTTGTTTTTCTTTTTGTATTTATTTATTTTTTTGGATGGATGGATGGGTCGTTTTTTATTTATCTATTTTTTTGGATGGATGGATGGGTCGTTTATTATTTATTTATAAATTTTTTTTGGATGGATGGATGGGTCGTTTTTTATTTATTTTTTGGATGGGTTGTTTTTTCTTTTTTTGGGGCGTGTTATGGTTAGATTTTTATTTTATTTTTTTGATGGATGGTTAGTCATTATTGTTTTTCTTTTTATTTTTTGATTAGGGTTAAAGTTAGACAGTAACTACGTTTTTTTTTTCCTGTGTCCGAAGATAGACTCACTAACTCTTCACATTATGGTACTATTGTGTTTTGAGTTTTTTCAGTAGACTCTCATTCTGCCTCAGTAACGTTTGTGCAGTGTTTTAAACAAAATCTTGCTTAATTATATAACTGTAGCTTATATATTTATATTATACATTTTTGTTTTGATTCCAGAGATCATTAACAAAATAAATATTTTATTTTTGACAGAGCTTGATCTTTATGAAATGTTCAACTGGGTATTATTATCAGATTATATGATGCTATACCTCTACTTCATGTAAACAATGCCTCATGTTATAAAAAAAAATATTTCAACATCATTAATGAGTAATACATTGCTTAACTAGGAGTTTATGACCGTATGAAGACATTAGGCATTACTGTCAGACAATAATCCATTGCTAAATGGTCCTTTTGTTTATTCTTCAGTAATATCAGGCATCAGTACCTAACCGAATTAAAAAAGGAACATTTTAAATGGTTAAAGGAAATATTTACTAACAATAAAGTCTAATAAAAAATTATGCATAAAAAAATCCAATTTATGGGTTTCAGGGTACACATGCAGTTAATTAAACAACTCAAACACTAAACCAAACCAAGCAACATGTTCCACTGGTTTGGTGAATTGGCAACCAAGATTGATTCTGTTTTTACATCCCAATCAGACAGAACTTCACAACTAATCTGTCAGTTTGCACCCATGGCCCCGTCATTGTGTTTTTGCAAGCGACAACGGTGTACCAGCTCTAATGCCGTGGTGAAAGTTTGAGCAAAATACGCTAACTGTTCTGTGTTTGGCTGCACAGACGAGCACAGAACACTGTTTAGAGTCCCAGCCTCAGAGGAGACAACAGAGCAGTGCATTTATTGATTTATTTACTGTATATTGCTGCTGCCACACAGATCTAAAATAAACAAGCGATTTATTTCCCAGCTGTTTACCTTCACAGACATAACCCACTGTTTTTGTAACTCGTGTGTGTGTTTAACGTAAACTTGTGTGTGAATGAGAACTTAGTTTAGTACTCACATGCTGTGACAGCCGCTTTCTGTGCGTGTGCTTCGGATGTGTGCACACAGGAAACCATCTATCAGAAGTTTAAACTAATATGGTTTAAAATGCATGATTTCAGCGCGATAAACATGAACCAAAACAGATGTTTTTAGCAGATACCAGCTGTAATGGCGCAGCTCTATTCTGGAAAAGGGGGCGGGGAGCAGCAGATCATTTGCATTTAAAGACATAGACCCGAAAACAGCGTGTTTCTGCTTCCACTCAAAATAGGCATTTTCAAAATGATATAACAAATGATCTGTGGAGTATTTTGAGCTGAAACTTCACAGACACATTCTGGGGACACCAGAGACTTATATTACATATTGTAAAAAGGGGCATAATGTGTCCCCTTTAAATTTCACTACTAGCTCAAAACCATAAAGGTTACAATCAAATTATTGTCCTCTGAATGGTTCAGTCAAGCCCTACAATATTTTTCATTTGTCCACAAATAAAAAAAAATAAATCTCAAGACCCTCATGACAAAATGGCATAAGAATGTGGATCATCTAACTGAAATGTGACACTCCCAAATAATCCTACTCCAAAACATTCACTAGAATTAGTATGAAAACTTAATTTGAAAATCTCAAGACCCTCATGACAAAATGGCATAAGAATGTGGATCATCTAACTGAAATGTGACACTCCCAAATAACCCTACTCCAAAACATTCACTAGAATTAGTATGAAAACTTAATTTGACTTATTCTTTAATTGAAGTAGTTAAGGACTATTTTAGTTATTTTTAAACCATTGCGAAACATCACTGTGGGCTTGCCTTTGATATTTCTTTAAACTGCAGCGAAGGCCATCATCACTGCGCTCCATATGCATACAAACAGTAAAAAATGTTCAGCACATTTATTTAATTTGTTCATAATGCAAAACCTTAAAACGAACTATGCAACTGGTGGAAAACAAACATCTAGAACCAACATGGTGCCACACTGTGAACAACCAACCCAACAAGGAAAACACACGAACACCACTGACAGATAAAGGAGCATATAGAAGGACAGAGCGATCAGATCTCCTGAGAGTCTGTGACGGGACAGCTGGACAGCAGCGAGTCGCACGCCTGCAGTAGATCCTTCTGGCAGCGCACACAGATGTCCTGACTGTACCAGTCACGCGTGGCCAGAGTGTGAAGGGATGTGGAGCTGGAGCCGCTCGACACCAGAACCAGAGGAATCCTGACACACAGAGCAGACAAACAACGCTTCTGTCACAACACACAGCTAGAGCCAATCGTATACATCAGGGGTGGCCGCAGCCCTGCAGAGTTCAGCTCCAACCCTAATAAAACCTCACCAGACCTTGATCAGCTCGTTCAGGTGTGTTTGATTAGGGTTGAAGCCAAACTCTGCAGAGCTGTGGCTCTCCAGGACCGACGTTCATCACACCTGGTATAACGTTGTCATTTGACATTTGCATTCGTTTGTCGAGACACTGCAGTCAAACATCTGATATTTCTAGAAAAATTGCCATATTAATGGAGAGAGAAGTGGAAAACTGCGAGATGTATTTGTCTCGACTGATCTACATAGATGCAAACTCCTCACCTTTCGGTGAATACTCACCTTTTTTTTTTTTTTT